CCCCAAAACCCCAAAACCCCTTATCTCACACTTTAATTAAAATCAGGGTTTAAAGAAATAAATTATAATTCAAATATTCATTATATGGTGATTGATTCTCAAGTATAATTGCTTTAACAGGTCTGCTTCCTTTGCTGATATTTTCTATTAATCTAAAAGTGATAGATCAAATTGATCCAGGTATTATTAGTTAAGTTTATCTTTGTCTTCTTAATTTTTGCATTGTTTTACCTAAGCTTGATATCTGTACTTGAATTTATAAAACTCTACATCAATAGCATCAATATCATCAATATTTTGCTATATACTTGACTCATCCTTAAAATTACCAAGGATTTCAGAGTCATAGTGTCTAAATTAAAGATAGTTATCCTTATTAAGGTGTTTCATCTATGTTTTGGCAAGCTACTCTGAAGAGTAGTTTTTATGAAATCTTTTAGGTCCTCTTTCATCAATTTCTTTCAAAGCTTCACCCACATCTTATATTTCTTCCTTAGTAAAAATGTCATTCAGCTCCATGTGAACTTGCCTAGCAATTGGCCTCTTGTCTATGATTCTAGTCTTTTTATTAAGGGCTATACTGATAATAGAGTCCAATTCCTTTTTAAGCTTTATCTGATCTTTCACTTGAGTATCGTAGGTTTTAAGCTGCTGTAATACCGAATTATTATTTTCAAATCTTGCAGTATTGATAGATGATTTAGATTTAAGAAGTCTTTTCTGGATTTGATTTTCCACTTTTTTAAATTATGTAATTCTAGGTATATTAATTTATGTCTCTGTGTCAACTGTATTCTTAGAATCTTGAATCTTATTTTCTATGGCCTGTGGAAACTTAGAGTTTATGTTAATTATTCTGTTTTACAATTCCAGTAAATGCTTTAAAGCTTATTTCTATCTTCTTGCTTAATTCAAAGTCTTTTCCTTAATGATTACATCTGTTAAACCCAGTTACTTATTGTTTTTATCACTTATTGGGGAGGATGTGACCCACTTCTTTGGTTCAAATTTATCTCTTTCTTAACTATCTAGACTTTTCAAAGTTTAATTTCTAAATGAAGAGAAACCTGTGTTTTTCATCTCTTGTTTTGGAAAACCATCAGTCTTGCTAGCTTAAACTAAAAATGGAGTCTTTTTGGCAACATTCAAAGGCTATAGAGCAGTAGCTGCTGTTCTTAATCTAGATTGATACTCATGAATAGAGGGTGTTGATATTGAACCATTAGATGTTGAGTAGTACACACTATTCTTTCTATTTCTCGACTATTTCAAATAATCAGTTGTCGAGCTTCCTATTATGGCCTGTTTTAGATCTCCATTAATTGATTAGATATCAGCTTTTACTTGTCGAATTTTCTTTCGTTATTATTCTCGATATGAAAAATATTAATCCACTTCGCCATTAAGGAATTCTTAGACAACAGGACTCTAAATTTGATTAGAAAAATCTTTGCAATGCATTTTCTTAGGTGACAGAGGATCATCAATAATTTTTCTAACAGAAACTATGTTGCTTGAATCCGGATTCTTATTCTATTTTACGATTGCATACTAGACACCATATTGTTTTATCATTTTTATTTGTATAAAAAATATAATAGAGATTTCTAACTATGGGGTTTTGGGGTTTTGGGGTTTTGGGGTTTTGGGGTTTTGGGG